GTTTTCCCAGTTAAAGAGTGTTTTTTTTCAAGTGAACTAACACGAACCTTGGTTGCGCAAGGAATTCATAAATTCCCCACTCCTCAGTCAAAAGGTAAGTTACTCTTCTGCTCCTAACTTTCTTTAGGAAATTATATACCAAGAAATACAACAACTGCAGTATTAAAGCAAGACATTTTTTCCCCTAATCTTTCTACCTACTTATTAGTGTAAGTGCAGAAACTCTGGAAAAAATTAAAATAAAACTGCCAATATCATAATGCCAGCCTAGGGTGCAACGGCATTTGGAATACTGTCTACACTTCTGGTATTCTCACCTCAAAAAGAATATTGTAGAATTGAAACAGGTTCAAGAAAAGGGCCACCAAAATGATCAAAGGGATGGAGCGATTCCCCTATGAAGAACGGTTGCAGCGTTTGGGACATTTTAGTTTAGAGAAAAGGCAAGTAAGAAGTTTATAAACTTAAGCACTGCGTGGAGAAAGTAAACAAAGAAAGTTTCTCTCTCTCATAACACTGGAATTTGTGGATGTCGTTGGAAGATTCATGTCAGATCAAAGAGAGTACAGTGGTACCTCAGGTTACATACGTTTCAGGTTGCATACGCTTCAGGTTACAGACTCCGCTAACCCAGAAATAGTGCTTCAGGTTAAGAACTTTGCTTCAGGATGAGAACAGAAATCGTGCTCCAGCGGTGCGGCAGCAACAGGAGGCACACTAGCTAAAATGGTGCTTCAGGTTAAGCACAGTTTCAGGTTAAGAACAGACCTCCAGAACGAATTAAGTACTTAACCAGAGGTACCACTGTCCTTCTTCACACGGTCCTTAGTCAAACTATGGAACTCCTCCCCCAGGAGGCAGTGAAAGCCACCAACTTGTATGGCTTTAAAAGAAGATTAGATAAATTCATGGAGGAGCGAGTGATCAATGGCTACTAGCCATGATGGCTGTGCTCTATATCCACAGCTGAAGGCAGCAATGCTTCAGAATACCAGCTGCTGGAAACCACGGAAGGTAAGAGTGATCTTGTGCTCATGTTCTCCTCCCTGGTTTCCCACAGGCATCTGGTTGGCCACTGTGAGAACAGGATGCTGGACAAGATGCGCCATTGGCCTGATTTAGCAGGATCATCCTATGTTCATTCAGATTAGTTAGACCATACTTTTAGGCCTATCTTGAGTTCCAGATTCAACATTTAGATAAAAACCTTCCCATAATGACTACACATTTCAAAACGTGATGTCACTTTTATATCATACATTACTTATTTAGGGCATAATATTTTGAGCATATTATATTCTGCAGAGCTACAGAGTTTTAGAGTTTTGCTCTAAATATTTCCCGGTATCTAAAAGAGATGGATGACTGAGTTTAAAAAGCCCCCACGGAAATAAACCATGTTGGGTATTTTCCAGTGACTCTCCAATACTCTATTCTTGGACAGGGTTTTTTTAGTACATGGTAGCCATCTTAACGCCGGGTCTATCTGGGGTGAGTGGAATATCAAGATCAAAGGGGTATCAATATCCAGTATCAACAATGGGCCAGATAAGAGTGAACAAATTGAAACTTAAAGTCGAAACAAGATAGGTGGTCAGAAGATAGTGAGTTTTCCTTCATATATCCTGCTGCAAATTCATTATTTGCTGCTGCTTTTGTTTTCCTTAAAGTAAAGTTCTCAAGGTCGAAGTTCTCTCTGGTTTGCATATTTCTTAATCTTTCCAAACAAAACTATTCTATAGGAAGGTTACAAAGGTTTATGGATTCCATTCTACAAAATGTGAAGGATGTTTTGCTTACAAATAAATCATAACCAGATGAAAGTATTTAACATCAAATAAGGAAGATATACTTTGGGGTGGGAGTAAAAATAAGGAAGCAGCAAAAACAAATCCCTCCTAAATCTCCTACATCCAATACTCTTATTAACATTTATAATGCTTATAAGCCTCAGAAGAGTTTCATTTGAATAGTCTCATATTTGAATTTATAGATGGAATCTGGGGGTTGTTTACGATTTATTACATCAGTCCCACACTGAAGCACATACTAACACTTACGTGTGGTTTAAACAGATTTTATATATGTAAATAGTTCTATCAATGTTCAATTGTATTTTAATGATTTTTTCTTTGTTTTTAGCGGTTCTTGTTTTTATCTGTAATGACTGTGTATTTGCAGGGATACAACCAGATTAAATAAATCTTAGTCAACTCATTGACTAAATCATATGATTATATCCACCAATTACATTTGCATACGTTTCAAATGGGTATGAAGCTGTAAGTATATTCTCCTAATTTTCAGATGATGCACGTATGTGCAATAGCATAGCAAGTACCATCACAAAAGAGACATCTCCCATTTTATCTCACTTATGAGGCAATGACTCATGTTTGCATTGTTGTGGGCTGTCTATTAGTTCCAAACAGCAAAGGAGCCCTTTAGATAGCCATTTATTTAGCTTCTTTGATGCATGGTCACTTTTGCAAACCAAGAGAGAACTTAAGAGGATTAAGGTCTGGGAAGTGAAACTGCTTTGTTTCTCATTCTAATTCACTCCAAGATACCAGATAGGCAGTGTTCATTACTATGGAAGAAAAACAAATATAAGCTTTCTGCATTTGACTGTGGGAAGAAGATTCAAATGACAAGGAACCACATGTGGCGGATTTAAGAGACTGCAGAGATCGCTCTTATGGGAACAATCATGTACAACTACCAATGTCACTGCAAAACACATACATGTACACATAGGAACAGGAGGGAGCCACAGCAACAAATAAAAGACTCAAAAGGGGAAAACGAACTTGAAAAAAGGGCCAGCTGTTATTATTTATTTTAGCTCACTGCATATTTTAGAACTTAAGTTCTACCTTTAGAAGCAATCTTGGACCTTCTCACACAAAAGCTGCTGCCTATTGTACCACCATTCCTTGCAATCTCAGTGTCAACCATTGCCATCTGCAGGGCTGCAGCAGCAAAGTGTGAATTGAAGAAGTTGCGTAAAAAGCTCTCTGTGAGAGTTATATTTAAAGTAGCCATCACACTGATTGTTTGAATACATTCTTCCACAAGAAATCAAGTTGTTGCAGAACCCTTTGTTTATCTAATAATGTTTGAGGGCCGATTCAGATATCCTATCTACTCCCTATCTTGGTTTACATCTGTGTAGAAAAAATGTGTACTCCTGCCATATAGTGTACATGTCTATTATGCCTTGTATATTTGGGAACTGAGGCACCATATGCTAATTGGTGCTAAAATTTGGAAACATAATCCACGGACATTTACTCTGAACCTTTCCACTTTTGTACAAAAATGCAGATACATTAACACCATTGTGAATGGCTAAATACAAGGGACCAATGGCAAGTAACGACAAAAAAAAAGTAAAAACCGTAGTCACACTGAATGAAGATGACAAATAGGTAATTAAACACAACAAAGAGCAATATAAACAGAGGTCCAAAATCCCAACCCCACCCCCTGCCAAAATAAACACAAGGCAGAAAGCACATTGCCATTTTTTTCATAGCTGAGCAGTAACATACTGGGCACAAAACCAAACACAGAATAATAAAGGTTCTGAATGTTAAATTGTTTCTTGCTCCGTTTGGACACAATTTACTCCAAGACTATGCTTTTTATCTATGAAAAGTTCAGCACAGGCCAGTCAATCAAAATTAGTCAACTAGCTAGTCAAGTACAGTAAAAGAAAAGAAAGAAAAGAAAAAGCATTGATAAGTTCAATATTTTATAACAAGGCCCAGAAGCCAGAATGAAAAGGAAGGATTAAACTAAGTGCCCCTTGTTATTGTGAGGATCTTTACATATTTCCAGTTTGCTTGCAGGTTATGGCAAGCAGTAAAATGATCCATCCAAATCTCCAAAGTGGCAATTTCTTAAATTAGTTTACTTTGGGCATGGCAACTTTAAAGTAGAAGACGACCATAGAAACTATTGAAATCCATAATGAGGCATATAAATGGTTCTGACTCATAGCACAGCTATTCTCTGACCTTTAGAAGATCCTTAAAGCAACATTAGTAGATGCTACGTTTTCCCAAATAAAACTTAATTGCATTATGTTCTCTTGCATCTGAATTGTTCTAGCTTTTCCCAGTTAAAAAGCCTAATGCTTGAATAATGCTGCAGTCTGTAGTATAGATGAGAGATAAGCAGTCCACTCAATTTTTTTCCTCCCAAGTTCAGTCTGAACAATATGCATAGATAGGCATCTAAACATAAGCAGAGCCCTGTTGGATCAGACAGATATTCTAGTGGCACCAGTATCCTATTTATAGTGGTTAGCCAGTTGCTTTCAATGGGTCCACAGGCAAATAATGTAAATAACAGCTACCCCATTATTATCACTAGTAAAATCCTGTTTGTGGGTTCCCAGGCTCTTCAGCTGCCTTGGTTATTAAAAAAATAAAATAAAAAGGATAAAAAAGATCACTGCTAAGTACCAGCATTGACCCAGGCACAGCCTAAAGAAAGCAACATTTTGTAATTTTTCTTCTTCATAAATATTTTGCATATAAGAAGCCCTTGAAAATGAGATTGTTTTTATTATCCTCCCTAGTAAGTCAGACCTAAATATCTAAAAACAACAAATATTTTTAATTCACCAGTTCATATAGCAATTTTAAAGGCTGCTCAGGAGTAGCACAGAGCCTTTAGGTAATTCTAAAATCAGGGCCATCAGTGAGTAACTAGTTTCCCTCATGGGGGCAGTGGAAAAATATGTGATTGTGTTATCAACAATATTGGTATTTTAACTGTTTGGGGAATACAATCCCTGAAGAGAACATTTATGTAATATATATTGAGACCGCATTCAACCACTTAAAAACAACAGCCAAAAACTAATTTCATAGAAAGAAATATTTTTTTCCCTTAATATATACTTCAAATGGAAATAACAGTTTGCAATGTACCAGACAGGGCCGACCATTTCAGCACTGTCCTCAGGAGACTTCAGGATCACATCTCACCTTTGGGAATCGTTATCTGACATCCTAGGTCACAGTCCTGCTGCAACTGATAAAAGGCCACTTCCTGTAACCGGGCACGCTCCAATTCAGAAAGACTTTGAACAGGAACAGACTTCAGCCGAACACTGCGCCCTGACATGCTGTTCCAAGTGAAGTCACCCTGCAGGAAATCAAGTGGAAAAGTATGAAGGGTCATATGGATAATCAACAGTTCACTGAGAATGCCACTCAGCCCTTTATCCCATAACTAAACATTTAACTTACGCTTTATTAAACACCCACAGTCACCATGGCACATTCCATAATTTTTGCAGAAGGGAGTTCTAAACTTGTTTTAACATTATTGGTTGGAAAAGGACAGCCATCTGGCTTAACCGGTGACACATACAAAGCCTGTGGAGGGCTCTTTATTGAACCTCTACCACTGCAATTCCCACCAAGGATTGTGTGCATGGCAGTAGCATGTCTTCATTTATTCAAGTTGAAGAACATGTACCGTATTGGCCTGAATATAAGTCGCACCTTTAAAATTGGAGGGGGGGGGAAATAGGTAAAGGACCCCTGACCATTAGGTCCAGTCGTGGCCGACTCTGGGGTTGCAGCGCTCATCTCGCTTTATTGGCCGAGGGAGCCAGCATACAGCTTCCAGGTCATGTGGCCAGCATGACTAAGCCGCTTCTGGCGAACCAGCGCTGTGCACGGAAACGCTGTTTACCTTCCCGCCAGAGTATCTACTTGCACTCTGAGGTGCTTTCGAACTGCTAGGTTGGCAGGAGCTGGGACCGAGCAACAGGAGTTCACTCTGTTGCGGGGATTCGAACCGCCGACCTTCTGATCGGCAAGTCCTAGGCTCTGTGGTTTAACCTACAGCACCAGAAATACCTGAATATAACCTGCTCCAATCCTTGCTGCTCCTGGCTGCAAACTGGGTGCGGGGAGAGTCGCGCTGCGTTGCCGGTAGCCTTTCCCCTTCCCCACTCTCTCTCTTCCCAGCCTTGGGGGAGAGGACGGAGGACTACGTGCGGGGTGGGCGCCGCTTTGCTGCACTCCTGGCTGCATACCGTAAGGTCGGGAATCTAAGCCACACTTTTAACTTTTCACTGTCGGAATTTGGGGGGAAAGTGAGGCTTATATTCAGGCCAATACGGTAACTAAATGATACCTTTTCATTTCTAATTTATTATACATGTAAATGAGTATTCTGAAATGTGAGGCATGTTACTTATTAACAGAGCCAAGGATATCAGAACAAGCAATAATAATTTACAATTTAGGGAATGGCCATAGCTTAATGATATAGTATCCACTTTGCATGCAAAAGTTCCCAATTTCAGTCCCCAGTAAGCAAACAGACTCCTGTCTGGAACCTTGAAGAGCTAGACCAGTGATGAAATAAATTTCAAAAGGACTTCATGGATTTCCACGTCACCATATACCAGAATATTTGCAGTAGAATATTCAGAAAGCAAAGCAAGGCTGAAATCTGTCATAACTTCCAACCATAAAGAGCTTTCCAATGAAAGCAAAAAGCATCCTATGTTTATACTGTTCAATGCAACACATATGTGTAAATCCATAAACATCTTCAAGCAAATGCCACAAACACATAAGCATGAACAATATTTGCATACGTGTTTTGTATGTTTTAAGTCACATTCCGCTGAAACTTTAATGAATATCTGGCACGCAGGTTCTAAAGAGTTGCACTTGTCTTCGGTATTATTCAACATTGTGACACTTAAAATGTCAGGTGTGGTTTGAAAGATATTGTTAAGTTGTGGGTGAAAATATCAGACGACACAGCGATTCTTCAAACAACTCTTGTTTATTCACAGGCCAGAACAGAACTGAACTGAAGGGTTCAGCAAGCCTGCTTATACAGAGCTCCACTAGAACGCAACAGTAACCATTTTCTGTAACTATCCAATCACTAACGTCACTTTCAATCCCTTATTTGCATATGTAGACATGAACTATCTACAGTATCCCCCTGCTGGCCCAGGGTGAGAACTTCAGTACATAATAGATATGCACCGTGATTCACTTATGAACTGATTCAGCAAACCTAAACAAGAAGCATCCTATACATATCTACTTACCTCTGTGTCCTATTCAGTTACGTGAGCCTTACTCCCATATATATTAGTATAGGATTGCAGCCTTAATGTTACAATTTGCGCAGAATGAAATGAAGGTAGCAACAAAGATTAAGATATCAATAAAAGGAATTTGAGCAGGAAAGATTAATTACTGCTATTCTTCATTTAAAATTCCTTAGCAATGTTAATAATAATTAAGGCTAAAGACTAAATTTGTCATCTGGAAGGTAGCTTACTAACTTCTTTTGGAAGTCTGGGCTACTCCTTAATACTGTTTTCAGGATCCAATCCTGAAAACTTAACAAGTTCACAGATAAGCACAAAAATAACAGTTCTAGACAAAGGACCACAGTGGATTTTTTTTGCCCAGGGAGCAGTAATGGTTCATGTATCCCTGCCACCAGTAGTGCAAAGAAATCTAGCATGTGTTAACTTTGCCGCAGTAAATTCTCTCCTAGGCCACTCTAACATGATGTTAGTGAAGACTATATCTGTCAAAATATTTTTGGGAAATGCTATGTTATGAACACTGGAATCTCCTGATCTAACTGAGATGAGCAATAAATGTTTACTTTCAGCTGTCTGCTTTATTTAGAAACTAAATGAATTAAAACAAACCAAAGTAACATAAAACTTTAGACCGTTCACAAGAGGGGCACAAGCTAGTACAATAAGATTCATTATACTAAAAACATTATGTACACTAAACATTTGTTCAAGAAGCTCATTTCATCCCAACACAACTTAATTATGGGGGGGGAGTGGAAGGGGAGTTGCCAGTTGTAGATCTTCCTTCCTTTGTAGAACATAGGCCTTCCCTCTGATGAATGGAGGAAAGACTCGCTTGGTTACAAGCCCTGCCCACCATCCACATTCTCAAGGAGAACACAAAGGATCTGTTTAACTAAGCTATATGGGAGAAAATGTGCTTTGAAGACAGAAGGTCCCTAGTCAGCCCTGGGTATCTCAAGAAGCAACGGCTTCATACTGGCATCTTTTAAGCACAGTTTGTTGATTTGGATGAAACAAGTTGTAGTTGTTGTTTTTTTAAAAAAGGAAGTGAACGTTTCTGAATGCCTCCTTGGAGCTGGTGCCAATGAGGTGGGACGTGCAGGAGTCTGTTCACATTGTACCGGACAACGTTTTAACACGATGTCTTCCCATGGTCAGATTTCTTATTGCTAACCTACTGAGTGGGACGGGTGAGATGCAGGGGTTTGAGAAGAAAATGGAGCAACATGCAGAAATTGGTAGGAAATGGATGTAAATGGTGCTACTAAATGCATCCAATTTCATTTAAAGGTTGAATTGGGAGGCAGTACAGTGGTACCTCTGGATGCGAACGGGATCTGTTCCGGAGCCCCGTTCGCATCCTGAAGCGAATGCAACCCGCATCTGCACGTGCTCGGGTCGCGATTTGCCGCTTCCGCACATGTGTGTGACGTCATTTTGAGCATCTGTGCATGTGTGAGTGGCGAAACCCGGAAATAACACGTTCTGTTACTTCCGGGTCGCTGCGGAGCGTAACCTGAAAACGCTCAACCTGAAGCATATTTAACCCGAGGTATGACTGTAGTGCTAAGCTAGATGTCCATTTTAAAGGACTGAATCCATGTTAGTGCCCCCTAGCCTACTATTCTTGAGTAAGATTCCTGACTGCACTTTAGTCACTGAATACAGATGTCCTGCCTTTGTCAAAAGCCATGGGGTCAATATAATCCACTGAAGCAAGCCTTTCCTGTATTAAGAAACTTGGCAATTACTCAGTGACTTTTCACTTTCTCTTGTCTTTCAGATGGCTCATGAACCACTTTGGGATAATTCAGTTGTCTAGAGCATGGTGCGGATAATGCCAAGGTTGCAGGTTCAACCCCCATATGGGACAGCTGTGTATTCCTGCATTACATGGGAGTTGGACTAGATGATCCTCAGGGTCCCTTCCAACTGTACAATTCTATGGTTCTATGTCTGTCTACCCCTTTTCATAAGTTCTGCATAGCATTTCACCATAAGGAACGTTGCCTACTGTCCACGGGGAGGCTAAATTTACATGCACAAGAGAAATACAACTTATGTTCTTCAAACGTAAACTCAGTATACGTCTGGATCAGATACATACAAGAGTAGTTGAATCATTGTACAAGCTTACATCATAATAAAGGGGTGGATGTACACAAACCCAGTTACATTCCAAGAGCATGAAGGAAGTGTGAAAACAGCTTGATATTAAGATTCACTATGAAACAGTTGTACTTAGTGTATTACTTGCTACAAAATTCATGTAAGACAAAATCTTCCTGCAATGGAGAAAGTATCCTTCAATCTCTTATAATCCAAACATGATTTCTTACAAAATCAATAGGCACACTATTTATTAATGTTAGCAACAGTTCAGTTTCATCTGAAGATTGCTCATGCCATCTGATGAATACCACAAAGTTCAGAGATGTGAGGAGGCAAGAAGTTATCCAGTTTTAGACCTACGCAAGGATGGCCAGCCCCTGATGGCACAAAACCTACTCTGATCTTCTGATACCCCCCCGCACCCATCCTGGTTTAAGATGTTTCAAATCCAGTTATTTGCATGAAAATAATTAAGGGTGGAAAATGCGAGAAGATGCCTTACATGGTATGTGCACAGGATGGATGCAATATGAAAGGGAAGAAATCCCTAACATGTAAGGTACTTATTAAAGAAGCTGGTACCTCCTTAAATACTAATATGGTGTGTGGGATGCAATGTGGAGGAGAATGACATTGAAATCAGTTTCAGAAAGCATCCAAGAAGCAACCTTAAAAACAATCCATAGGTGGCACTGGACTCTGCTTAAATTAAAACACCATAAATCCAAATATTTCTGTTGGAGATGTTGTGGAGAGGGGAGGGGTTACTTCTTTGGTGGGAATGTTGTTTTGTGAAAACTTACTGGGATGGAGTTCTTGCCCAAACTATAGGCTATTATAGGACAACACCCCCTCCCCAATTCCACCTCTGGCATTACTTAATATCAGTAGACTGGGTGGTTCTGAGATCCATAAGGAACATGTTTCCTGTGTTACT